GGGTTGAAGAAGGGGACCGCTCCGGACAGGAGCGCTGGGGAGGTGGAGGAGTCTTTGGAGAAGAAAGACTTGGATCGAGTTGGTGGAGAAGTGGTCTGGAGGAGCAAAAAACCGGGAAGAAAACAAGGGCCTGTTAGGTTGCTGGGGTTCCCTGTGACAGGGTAGAAAAGTGAAGGCAATAGAGAGGTGGAATTGAAGTGGTTTCCCCGGTGAAGAAGAGGCACTGAGAGAGAGGAGAGCACTGAGGAGGTGGGATTGAGTGTATGGGGCAGTGGGGTAAAAGCAGTGAAGAAATCTGGTGTGTGAAACCTGGTTATATTTCTGTGGTGCGAAGGGAGGAGGCGGCAGTTACGGTAAAAGAAGGTGCAGACAGAAATAAAGGAATGCAAGAGGATGTTAGTGGAAAGAGGGGTTCTATAGCAGAACGAGGAAAGTGGTGGAGAAGAGGACATGGAAGTGGAACCCAGAGTCTCCTGGGGTGTAGGATGTATAAAATAACAAATAAGGGAGATGAAGAGTGACCCTTTGACAATGCCTGGTGCTCTGTCAGCCAGAGTCCTCCATCGCATCTGATATGTTCGTGAATGAGGTGCCAGAGCCAAACCTGTAGGTCCGCACAAAGGATAACAGTGTACTGGTCAGTGAGTGGGCTCTCCATGACTGCACACAGCTAAACTGAGTTTGGAAGCCCTTTTTGATGACCTAGGCATCTGATTATTTTTCTTGCAGTTAAAACTTGTTGTTTTGTCTTTGATGTGTTGAATTTTATCTTAATACATGTAAGCTTGAACCATTTGTTCATAGTTTAAGAAAAATCTGAGAAAGGTTTGATTTCAGGGCTGATGCGCCCCCTCCCTATCCATATGTAGGGAAGTAGCTGTAGTTTAGGCTTTACAGCTGTGCCCTGCCTACCACAACTCCAGCTTGGAGACGCTGTCCTCTCCTTGGGGAGGAAAGGTGATTAAGTCTTGGCTACCCATATCTTATAAATGGAAGCCTGAAAAGGCATAGCAGAAAACTAGCAGTCCCATACTGGTTTAATTTGTTTATATTATCTATTTGTAAAAATGAGGCTTCTTTATGGTAGTGCTGATCTTTGTTATGTATAAATGTTGAAGTACTTCTGTGTGAAGTGTAGCAGGGAAGTCAAGTTCAGATCACAGCAGGTAACTTTATTTCAGGGAGACCTTTGTAGTCAACCCTAACAGCATCTAGTCATAATATTTTTGTTCGGGTCAAGATGCGGAATTGGTTACAGCTGTTTCATTCATTGTCTTCCGTATATATAATGTCATGGGCAAAACTACAGGAAGAAGTCTGTGAAACGTTTTTCAGAGTCTTTAGGCTGTCTGTCTCACCTTTGTATGTGTGAGCATTAATGTAGAACCTGCTGTCTTAAACTGGGAAGAAGTTACCAGGCTATCTTAAGTTGAAGTTGTTTAGACTTGATGTAAGCTTCATTGCAAAACTACCAGAGAATTTACATAGGTTAACTTGCAGTTACAAGAAAGAGGTGAGATGGTTCATTTCACTTCTGAATTCATTTCTCCAGAGATCTGTCTGGTTTTATGACTGAGGTTAAATTGCCTGAGGTTTGGGGATTTTTTTGCTTGTTGGTTTGTTTCTTTGTTTTTAAGTACTGTACCACTGTGGGTTTTTTTAAATACTTCTTTAGTTTTAACAAGTCATCCTTTACCTCATTCAGATACTGAGGATGCCAGTGAAACCGACCTGGCAAAACATGAGGAAGAGGACTTTGTAGAAATGAAAGAACAGTAAGTAACCCATTATAATCAAAAGTAAAGTAATGTTCTGTTTGTTTATTATGTTGGGGTTTTTTTCCGCACAAAACTTTGCAATATTTTGGGCCAAGATTGGGGTTTTTAAGTGCCTACCCCAATGTAATAGCTAACAAGTACATATACTTGTATTTCTTCTCAGTTACTGTCTCTGTTCTATATGTATTCAAGAAGCTAAGTGCTGCTACTGTTTTGGACAAAGAAATAGGTATGAGTTTCTGGGAGCAGCTGAGTTTTGCTACAAACAAATCCTGCTGCAGGCAGATCCTTTAAATAAAATAAAGGATTTACTTTATATAAGCCCTGAACTGTTCCCAAAATAATTGGTTTGGGTGCATTGTAAAACCAATGGGGTGGCCATGTTTTTAGGCAGAACGATAACCTTTCATTTGAATAATATTCTTTGGGTTGTTGTTTGTTTGTTTCCTGAAGTTCTTCTGAAAAGTTTTTAATTCTGTGTAAACATGTTGTAACCTAAACAGATGGTGGAATAAACTATATATGCTTGTTTTTCAAAGTGAAGTTACATGCTCTCTATCTTTGCAGGATGTATCAGGACAAACTGGCATCTCTTAAGAGGCAATTACAACAATTGCAGGAAGGTAAGCTTTGAAGGGGGTAGCTTTTTTTCCTAAACAATTTTCAGCACTTTTCAAAGGTCGTAGAAGGATGAGGGTTTTGAAAGATGTAACTAGCATCCTTCACTGAGTTTTGGCTCTCAGTCATGCTACTGAGTGAAAAATGTCAGCCACTTCCCATGCTTTTTCCCTCTACACGCTTGTAGTTAAGCCTCTGTGTACTAAAGCATTTCTTAAAAGGAGTAGTCTCTCTTCTGAGAAAATGGGGAATGTGCTTATCAAAACAAGAAAACTGGAACTGTAGTTTTCTGATTTCGGATATTAGTATTTGTGTTTCAAGTGGTATGTGGCTCCTTGAGGAAAATTTAATACCTGGGGGGAAAAAAATTCTAGTGGGAATCCACAACTATTATTTGTTTCAACTATATATTTATTTCAACTAGGTACTCTTCAGGAATATCAGAAAAGAATGAAAAAGTTGGACCAGCAGTACAAAGAAAGGATACGAAATGCAGGTAAGCTGAATTTCTTTCTAAGATGCTGCATACAACTTAAATTTATGGTTTTTATAACACCTGAAGAAAATAATGGTAATTCTGTCCTTTAAAGAAAAGGAACTTGCTGGAGCAAAGGGTTCTTCTGCTTCTGAGGGTATAGTGTAGGGTTTTTTGAGAGTACACGAAGCATGATGGGATCTGTCTTGATTATTTTTTTTTTCCTTCATCAGCGTTGTTTGCTGACTGTTTACTGAACACCAATAAACAATTTTAGTCTTCCTTTGTATATAACAGTGCAAGTAAAAAAATTACTTAATTTTTATCTGGGACTGTGCCTTACTTACATTCTCCAGCTTTAGCTTGTTCTTTTGTGCAACTTGTCTGAAACCTTTAGGTGCACTATTTCTTTTGGTTTGCAGGAATGGAAAGTTAGGACTACATGCTTTTCCAAAGATCTGTTTTGTGCCCTGGAACAATGAATACAGAGGGTTTGCTACTGAAACTGTTATTTTGTATAGCTGTGACATTGAATGGGCTGCCTGTACTTTGTGTTCTGCTCTGTTTCAGGAGTGAAGGCCCGAGTTAATTTTTAAAGTGCCTAGCTCTCAGCCCTTCTGGGTAGCCTTTATTGTGTTACTGCAGAGAAATGGCTTGGAAATCAGATCTGTTTCCTTGTCTTCCCTCTTTCTTGTTTGTTCTCTTTCCAGTAGGTTCTTATCTTGGATACTGAAGCAGGGCCTTTTATAGAAGTTATTATGTTGAAATAGGAAATGTAGCTGTTCTTCCTTTAGAAAAGTTGGATGAATCCTGTAATGCCCGGGCCATTACTCTAGGAAATATGACAGCGAGGCAGTGGCAGTTGTATGATATCTAGCATACTCCAACCTTTGAATAGTATAAATTGTGTATTTCTAAAAGTGCTTGGGATGGTAAAGGATTTGCTTGAGGAATTTAAGTGAGTTGAACTACCTCTTGTTCACAGGTATCTGTCTTCTGAGATGAATTTTAGGTACAGTAGAGCTGTGTTCTAGCACTGTTGGGTTGTTTTGATGTAATTAAGACTAATTGCAAACTTGTATTTTGACTGGCGAAGACCAGTGCTGCAGCAACGTATTTCTTCCACAGGAGGGCAGATGGCGATAACTTTCAATTTTATGATAAAAAAATCCAACTGCCTAGTACTACAGGAGTGATGGTTTTATGTTTATCCTTCCCATGTTGAGGTTTTGGGTTTTCTTGGTTTTTTGTTTTGTTTTGTGTTTGTTGTTTGTTTGGGGTTTTTTTGAGAATTCACAGATACTAAAGCAACAGTTCAGATCTACCTGTATTGGATTACTTCCATAATACTGTTTCTATGCTCAATTGGTAGAGCCCTTTGCAAACAAAAGGTTTGACTTTATTGGACCATTATCGTCTTTGGTATGTATTTTGTTGTTTTTTAAAAATTATATTAAAAAAAAGGCACAGTAGTACAGTGTTGCTACTACAGTCTTCTCTGAAACATATTTGAAGCCTGTGATCTTTACAGAAGTTTTTACTATTTCAGGTATTGCCAAAGCTTAATATGCTGTTGAAATATGGTCACTTGAGGACTGATTGGATGCCTTAGTTTGCTTTTGTTGCCACTATCTTGAGTAAAACCTTTGTTTTGGGAATTATATTCTCAAGGAAACACAAGAAGGGTCCCATCCCATTTAATTTCAAGTTGTTAGGAATTGCACAAAGGTCAGTAGGAGGGCTGTTTCACATACAGAAATCCATTTTCCTCACCCATAGGTCTGACTTGAGGTAATCATTGCCATGTGTTAGAACTTCACCTTCAGTGATACATAACAACTTCTGTACTTCTTTTCTCAGGCATAAACAGCCTGAAATCAGACACCTGTGAGTTGAGTAGATGAATCTTCTAACAGCTGCAGAATTATTTCTGAACCAATTATTGCTGAAATTCATGAAACTGGCTTAAACTGTGAATTTTTGCCAGCCATACATTCACCTACATGTTTCAAGCGTCTATCTGGGATGTTTGTATCTACTATTAATTGCTTGTAATTTAACTGAAAGAAAGATGGACTATACATGCTTAGTACTGCTGGGAATAGTAGCTAAACAGAATAGTATGGAATACTCCTGTATAAGCTTTGCAAATCTGCTTGACGATCTGTAGAAAACTTCAATTAACAGTGTATTTTTATGATTTTTTTTTTTCATAGCTACTTTATTTTTAGCAAAGTGAGAGTAGAGGTTGGATGTTGTCCTGGTTTCGACTGAGATAGAGTTAATTTTCTGCTTAGTAGCTGGTACAGTTTGTTTTGAATTTAGTGTGAGAATAATGTTGATAACACACTGATGTTTTAGTTGTAGCTAAGTAGCACTTATCCTTGGTTAAAAATTTTTCATTTTCCTGTGCTCTGCCAGCAAGCAGGTGCACAAGAAGCTGGGAGGGAGCACAGCCAGGGCAGTTGACCTGAACTAGCCAAAGGGATATTCCAAACTACAGAACATCACGCCCAGTATATAAACTGGGGGGAGTTCACCAGGAGGGGCCGATCGCTGCTAGAGCATCGGTCGGTGGGTGGTAAACATTGTGTTGTGCATGACTTGTCTTTTCTTGGATATTTTTTTATATTCCTTTTCATTACTATTATTAGTTATTATTACCTCTGTTAGTATTATATTTTGTTTTACTTTAGTTATTAAACTGTTCTTATCTCAACCCACGGGTTTTACTTTTTTCCTGATTCTCCTCCCTGTCCCACTGGGAGGAGGGAGGAGTGAGTGAGTGACTGCGTGGTGCTTAGTTGCTGGCTGAGGCTAAACCATCACAGATTAGAATTTACACTATTTGGTTCGCTGCCTCTCTTGGCTTCAGTATTCAGTGGCTGAAAATGTTGAGGAATTCATTTTGTGCATCTTTGAAGATAATAAATCAAGTCTTTCTTGTCTTTCAGAGCTGTTCCTCCAGCTGGAAGTAAGTACTTTTAATTTATCAAAATACATATTAACTAGATGGAACAGGTATAAACCTCCTGTTTCATCAACTAGTACTTGTGTTTGTATCCCAGAAGACTTAAAGAAATTTTCTTCCTCTAGCTAGCATTGTGACACTTGAGATGTAGTACAGCCTCCTGTTGGTATTACTTCAAGTAGCTTCTGGACTTTGTAATTAAAATAGAATTAAAAGAAATATTTGCTCTTGGGCTGTGGTATGCTGGCTGTGCGTTTGCCTTGTTTAAAAAGGTTAAGGTGATAAGTGATAGTGCTGTTTATAAATCTGAAGAGCTCTCTGCTAGAGACTTGGTATGTTATGCAACATTAAAATATTTTTTAAATAGAATTATTTTTCCAATACAGTACTACTTTCCAAGTCATTTTTAGATGGTTTTCTGTTGATTATGAATAGTGATAATCTTTATAACTGGCTACAGTTTTGAACTGAAAAGCTAATCAATACAGCAGTTGAAAGAAGCTGTTATGATACCTTTAACTTGAGTCATTGGTTCCGTAGTTAACCTTTTTGTTCTTTTGGTTTGTATTAGACAGATCAGGTGGAAAAAAATTACGTCAAGGAAAAGAAGGCAGCAGCAAAGGAGTTTGAAGATAAGAAAGTTGAGCTTAAGGAAAATTTGATTGCAGAGTTGGAAGAGAAAAAGAAGATGATTGAGAATGAAAAGCTAACCATGGAATTAACAGGAGGTAAAAACAAGATAGGCATCTGTCATTTGTCTTATCCACTCTGCTACTGCTTAGGAAAAAAGGATATGAAGGTAGCAATGCTGATTTATACAGACAGCTAGTGTGAAGGCTTTAAAGCTTTCCAAATGCCAAGAGGTGTAGAGTACCAATTGGTGGTCTTTTAGTGGAGAAAGCAGTTCATAATAAAATTCAGTGACCTGAATGACTAACAGGTGAATCAAAATAGTGCCAGTGAAGCAGCAGAGTGGATAGGCTTTCTTATATGCAGGAAAAGGGGCTGCTTTAGTTCCTGTGATCTGGCAATAAAACTGTTGAGATACACCACGATATTTACCTAACTGGTGGTGCCAGGTTGTAAACTGTGTTCTTTTTTTTGTTTTCTTTCTCCAGTAGTAGGTAGGGAAGAAGTTGAAGAAAGGCAAACAAAACCTTTATTGTTGCTACTTAAAGCCAGAAAAATAGATTTTTGAGCTACACTTGTGTCCAAACTCTGGAAAATGAACATTAAATGGGCAGAGTTCTTTCATGAGACCAATTGGTGCCCTTGATGCCTTGGCTATGCTCTTTGTAGTAATTGACACAGTGGAGCTAACTAGAGGGATAATTAGCCTCCTTCACAAATTGTGTTGCTGTGATACTGAACCAAAAGTCTGATTTGATGCTTTTTTTGTTGTTTTTTTGAGCAACTCCCTCACTTCATGGACAGATAATGGTGTGTTCCTGAGGCCTGTCCATGAGTTAGACCTTTTATATCTTTCTTGCATAGTATCTACAGAAGTTATGTAAGCTAATAATTTAGTGTTCAGAAGCGAGAATTAAAACCTGTTTGGACATATTTAGGAGTGCCGTTGGCTTTGTACAAACCGTTAGGGCTAATCTGATCTGAAAAACAGCTTGAGCTATGCTATTTCCTTGACTTTTTTCTTTTAAATTATGAAGTCTAGTCTGATCTTGCAAACTGTGCCTTAGCCTCAACTTTCCTATTGATGTCCTATGCCTGTGTCTGTTCACTACTAAGCTGGGATACAGTACCAATCTTGTAAGCAGATTTTAAGAGTGGATCCAACTAAATCTGCATACCAATGTTCTAGGAGTCTGAAGGAATCCAATTTCTCTTATCAGTGGGACAGCTGTTAACATCAGGATTTAGATTTGCAGAGTTAAAGGGAGACTGAGGAGGGGTAAAAAGAAGTATTTGGTGGTCTGATTTGGGGACCAGATTAATCCTCTTCAGGGAAATGTGTCCCCCTATTGTTGTGTGTCCTGAAGAGATGAGCTATTTCATCAAATACATCTCTAGGAAAAGGCATGTAAGTAACTGTGGAGAAGAGGTCCATTCTTTGTGTTAACCCTCCTTTATCTTCTTCCTTCCAGACTAGCAAAAGTGCAATGTGATTTCTTTAGAAGTAACAAATTTTATTGTGAATGTGTGTTGGAGGCTGAGAAATAAGAATACTGAAACTGATGTGGACTTGATGGTCTTTAAAACCTATGGAAGTTCAGCGTATACAAGGATGCGAGTTAGCAACCTGATGAATAGGCTCGTCTGAGTGTTGGGAGTGTTGCGGTTTCATTAGGTTGCAATAGTTGCCCCCTGTTCTGGAGCGCTGCATAGTGTCGTTCTCAATTATTAAGCCTCATGCAAGACTCTGTTTCAGGTTAAATCTGTTGGTGCTTTAGCAGCTCTTCAAAACTACCTTTATAAAGTTTTCATGAATCTCTTGAGAATCTTAGTTCTTCAAATGTTTAAGAGTAAATGTGAGACTCCCAAACGCTCTTTTTTTTCTGAAAACTTGTTTGGTGCTGACTTTCAGCTGACTTGTCACAATTCTAAGATACAGGATGCTGAGATAGAGAGAAGAAAATGATCTCTCTGCCTTACGTTTTAAGCAAGGTAGATAACAGCTCTGTGACAAGTCATTTGAAATTAATTTTTAAAAAGGAGAAAAAGCCTTCTTGACCTGGCTGCATATCGCCTTGAGTAAGTGTTTCACGCCCCTCTTCTAGGCTCTTGTGAATCGATCTTAACAAATGGGAAGAATGGCTTACATTCAACATAGTAAGTTACACTTTCAGTGTCTGCAGGACCATTAATGTTCCATGTGTTTTAAGCTTTTTTTAAAAAGCTTTTGTCATAATATTTGTTCCCTTGATGTGTACCATGGTCATCCTTGTTCACCCTTGAGACGAGGGGAAACATAATTTGGTGTATTTTGAACATGCATAGCTGCTCAAGGTTTTAGTGTCTAGAGGGAGCCAAAGAGGCTTCACAGACTTAAGTGCTACCTAGGATGTGATTCAGGTGTACTTAAAGATGAGAGAATAATTCTCGGCACATAGAAAGAGAGGTGAGATGATGTGTTTAGCATTTAAGATGTGATCCCTTGGTTGCCAATTCAAGGTATATTCATAAATTAAGAAATGATTTGTGAAGAGTTTGAGTAAGGTAGTTCAGTTAAGACTACCTGTAGACATTTGGACAAACACTAATTTCAGATAATTACCTGGTGATGAGACTTGTGTTTCAATTTTAAACAGAGTTTTTCTCCAATGCATATGCTACAATTTATTCCCTGTCAACTGCTGCTCTGCATGTTATTAATTAGGTTCATTTCGTTAATCATAATTTGGAACATTTCTAGATAATCTGAATTTAAATACTATTTGTGTTTAAAATTACTCCAGCAGACTTGTATCAGCCTTGAATGCAGTAATTATCTGTGTTACTTTGACAAAGCTATTTTTCCAGCTTGAAGACAAGAAAAAGAGCAATTGATTTGTAGCTGATGTTTTACATCCTATTAACTGTCCAAGTTTTGTTAGCAAAGAACTCCATGAACTTTGCCTTTTAAATGATCTGTTCAAAAGCAGATAGCATTAGCATTAAAGAAATTTGCCCTGAATCCTTGTAGCATCATTGTGCTTGTTAGCTGTACCTGAAGCAGCTGTAAAATGCCCCCAGACCAACTGTGCCACTTCCAGACCATGAAAGCTGTAACCGTGGCATTGCAAGGCTGTTACTAAACAGTGACCTACTATGAAAGAGAACTTGTATTCACTGTCAGCAGTTCCAGCTTGAATGCTGGAAGCTATCACAAGAAAAATCCAATTTTCTGTATGAAAGAGGAGAGATTATTTTCCTTGTACCTTGTGTAGAAAGCTGCGGCTTTTTGCTCCTTTCCATCTGGTCTTATCAGCTCTCCAACTTCATTACTCTACAGATTCAATGGAAGTGAAGCCTATTATGACAAGGAAACTGAGGCGACGACCAAATGATCCAGTTCCTATCCCAGACAAGAGGAGGAAACCTGCCCCTGATATCCTTTCACAGAGTTGTTGGAGGGCTATTGTGTTTGAAGCCAGCATGTTACTTGCACCTATGCTGTTTTGTACAGAAAGGAAAATGAAACTAGGTACTAGGGTCAGATTTTAATCTAGGAAATACTGAAGCACAATTTGTCATGTGTAATGTGTGATAAACTAATATAACATGACTAGTCTTTGGAGATCAGTTGGTATCCTAAAATAAGTTATCTCATGACACTGTAAAGTTTGTTAATTTTTTTGATCAGTGAGAATAGTTTGAATTCTTCAGGCAATTTTTTTCACAAAGGAAAAACTTTAAAAGAACGTTATATATAAATGCTGAGGTAATTGATGCCATAGATAGTAAATGGCTTTTTACATGAGCCAAAGCTTTTCTCATTTCAAGATGTGACAAAACATTTGCCAGAAAGATCATGTTTGTCATATCAAACTAGTTTTTCCATTTCTGATAAAGGCTTCAGATCTCTAATCCGGAGGGATGCATAGCAAAAGCAAGGAGTGCTAGATTGGTTCTTTGAATAAAAAAAGATGAAAATCCATCTTGGTTTTATATATCATGAGAGAGAAAAACATGTATATGTAATGCTTCTCTTCTGCCTTGTTGCGTGTTTCTTATGATTAAAATGTTCCTTGGCTTCTGGAAATATGTTTTTAGCTCCTCTGTGATGATAGGCACTCTTTCTATTTGTATATTAAATTCACCTGGAAAGGAAGGCAATGATATTTGCTTTGCAGAGGCTTATTATTAGATTCCAAACTTGTATGGCTTAAATCAGATTAAAAAAACTTACCTTATGGCTTCTGAGTGACTCACATTTTCTGAAGGGAACATCAAACCTTGAACTTCTAGAGTTCATCCAGGATGGTCACAAGCATCTCCAGTTTTAATTAACCTCTTTCTGGTTGGAGATTCTGTTCACTCTTTCAGGAAAAAAAAATATCTATTTATTAGTGCCCCTATCACATCCAAAATAAATGAGTTTTTTAGTGAATATGACCTACTAATTGTGCATGATACAGCAGCCACAGTATGAAACTCTAAACCTCTCCCCAGTGAGGAACTGCAGATAAAGTCCATTGGAACCCAAATCCTTAAAATGCAGCCTAGCAATTGTTAACTTTAGTTTAGTACGTGGAATATTTTTGAGTTAACAGCTGCTTTGAAGACACACCACAGATGAAAACTGGAGAGAGGGTCCACTGCTTTGTCTGGGTATTGTTTTCCTTCTGTGTCCTTAGGTTTTTCTTGTGTGGAAGTGACAGAGGAACAGTAGAAAAGGGAAGTGGGAAGATGCGATTGTGAAACTACACAAAATGACAGCAGAGCTCTAATAAGGCAATCATATGCTAACTTCTGTGTTCTGAGATTTTGATTTTTGTTCTCAGGTGAATGGTAGATTCTTCTTTACATTCATCCACGTAAGGATGTGTTTTGTGCCTCTGGCTTTATTTTCTGGTTCTCTTTTGAATTTTTTTTTTTGGTGGGGGGGGCTTTCCCCTCTTCTCCCTATTGTCTCTATTCCTGCTTACTGAGTTGCAAAATGATGAGTTTCTTTTCCTAGGTTTGGGTGGGATTCAGCTTCATTGTACAAAATGTGAAGTGAGTCTGTTGTGTTAAGTTGAAAAACACTGAAAACACTAGTGCTTGATGCCTCCATGAAGTAAATGTCAATGCACTAAAGGTTTTTCATTGATGATTATGTCTGAATAAGTTAAAATGATTTTGCACTCTATTTGCTGTTAAATATGAGGCTTTGTGGAGATGGACTTGTATTAATTCATATAACAAAAAAAAAAGCTCAAGCGTGACACCTACTAAAATCTTAGGCAACTTTACAGAAACCTTTTGGCTTGCGTTTAGTCAAGTGAAATGTCATTGACCTTTAATTTTTGGCCTTGCTTGTTAAGAGCTTATGGGAACCTTAATTCTGGATACCTCAGCTAAATTATTTGTTGACTGATGAGCAAATAATGGAAGATCTGAGAACGCTGAATAAGGTAGGGATTATTGCTTGATTTGTATTTCTCTGTTTTAAAGAGAAAGTTAATGACTTCCCCTGAAGAGAAGAGAGCTCTGGTTTATGTTCCTTTTTGAGATGTGGGACTGTTTCATCCCAGTAGGCTTTCTGAAGTAACACAATAAAAGATTTAGCAAGATGGTATCTCCTCCCTTTTATTTTAATAGGTTTAACCTAATTAAAATGACTGTCATCTAAAAATGTTACCTTTTGTCTGAACCAGGTGATGAGCTGTCTTAAGGAGTTTCTTCCTCTGCATGGCTGAACAGATGTTAACATGTTTTTCTCTGAGATCACAGGCTGCCTTTGTTTTAGGCCTTAGTGTGTGGCGTGTTTTTTAGTTTCTGGGTGTGGTTTTTTGGTTTGTTGATTTTGTTTTGGTTTTTTTCCCTCTCCCCACTGTTGCAATACTTCAGCAAACTGGATAGGGTGCAGTGTGTATGTTTATAGTTTTCCTAGATCTTATTAACTTACTGCTTTCTTGCTAAACACCTTAAGACTTACCCAATTTTTTATAATAGAGGCTGCTCATTAAGGCATTTGAGGGTGGTAGTGGAGCATGTTTTCTGTGCCAGCTGTTGAGGTGTCTCTAATGATTTATCTCCTGTGTTTTGTGTACCCTGAGAAATGTTGGATCATGTCCAAAAATACAGTGTGTTAGATGGGTTTGGTTTTGATTTGTTTTAATGGATTATCCGAATGCTCTGGAGTTCAGTTTGTAGACCTTTTGCATCACGATACTGAATATCTACACCTTTGGCTCTTTATGGCGTGCTGTTCTGGTTATGTGTTATGCCACTTAACAGTACATTAAAAAAAAGAAGCTTTTAGAGTATAGGAAGTAAGGCGAGCTGAAGTTATTACTGCAGACTTCTGTGTCTCATGTCAGATATCTAACGCTTCTTTGCTCTCTTTCCATGCAGCTTAAATCACCCAAGAGGCCAGGTGAGTTAACCGTTACATTGGAATTTGTTCCCAGTCATGCTGTTAGGAACAGAGAATTGTATTGTAGACTATTTGACTGTATAATTGCTGAGTGTGTAATTTGACTGTGTAATTGTTTTGACTGTGTAATTGCTGTTCTTTGTGTAGCTACTGTGGCAAATGGGTGCTGTGTGAAGTCTCTTCATCTGTTCTGAAGTTTGTGAGGGATGGGAAGGTTGGCATATGTATCTTTGGCTGAAACGTTTGAGCATGGGACAATCTGAAAGATGTTTTTCCATTATATTCAGATGCATCTGGGCAGCTTGCCTGCTTGTCAAGTAGATGGAAGGATTGAGAATTTACGGTGTTATGCCTTCAGCTCTCTAGATGTGTCTGTACATTTTATTTCAAGACAGAGTGGTACTAACTTGCCTAACTATTTCTGATCCTATTTAACTACTTTACTATAGATCAGAATTAAAACAATATAAAGGACATACTGTCTATCACCTACCTATCAACATTTTTTCAGATGAATGTTATATTTTGGTGAATATTATCGTTTGTGTATTCAAGGCAGAGGTTGAATTACTCGTCCCAATAGAGAATATTTTTCTGATGGAAATTTGAGTTTGTAGCTTTCCTTGCTTATTATTTCTGCTTAATATGACCTTATTAATTGCAGTTCTGCAGTCAGATGTGCTACTGTGTGGTGGACACATGCTGGTCTTTAAACACAGTCTCTCTCCTGTTCTCAGCCTCTCCATCTTCTCCTGAACACCTCCCAGCTACACCAGCAGAGTCTCCAGCGCAGCGGTTTGAAGCCCGGATAGAAGATGGAAAACTCTACTATGATAAGAGATGGTAAGTCCTGGTAAATGGCTGTTTTAATCGATCTGACTGTTGTGTAGTGAGGAGACAAAGACTGCACAGAGAAATTGCTTTGCTGAAAGTATTTGAGGAGAAAATGTTTTTGGGCAGAGGTTAGCCACTTCATCCAAGGGCTAATCATTGCGACTCGGTAAATCAGAAGTGATAATGGAGTGTTTAGACCTCATAGACTTTCAGGTGTAACTATTGGCTCAAATAAAAGGAGAGTTAAATCTTTTCCGTGGAGTCAGTGGTGCACACTGTGACACTTGAAAAACGTTTTTGTCAAACCTAATGTTAGGTACGAGAGCTACCAGCAGATGCAGTGTGATGTAGCTGTGAAGCCGGTCAGCTAGGATACAGATACTCTGTGACTGTGGGTACAGTGGTGTTGGGAGTATTCACCATCCTGGTGTTCAGCTTTGTAGCCCATCATTCCACAAGGTGGCAGAAGAAATGTGCACCAGATGAGCAGAATGAAAAATGTTTCTAATAAATCCAAATAACCTTTAAAGATCAAACCCACATGGGAGAAGCAACTTCAGAATTGCTGATTGGATTTAGCTCTGTTAAGTTTTATGGGCATATAGCTGTGCAAGCCTCACAAAACACAAGGAAAATATTAAATTCTGCAGAGAAATCTTAGTAGGTCTTAAACTTAATCCATGAGACATGCAAAACTGGATAATCAAGGGGGCAATCTGGTACTCCTTAAGCAGAAAGCAATTTGCAAGTCGTATGCTTATTTGTAGCCTACTTTAGTGTTCTGGTGGCTCAAAATAACAAGTCACGAGGTTGTAATTTTATCATGGAAAATGATAGGTGTGAAACTTGTTTTCTACACAACAGCCATCTTGTACGGCAGGTCAGTTTTTCCTTCTGCTAGTCGTCTGACAGTAAAGTGTCGTCGAGGGTTCAATGTATACAGCTCTGATAAAAGCGATGCCGGGGAGCTTAAACTTCAGTGAAGCATAAAGCAGACATGAGCTGAACAGGCTACTTATTTCACAAATTCATGAAGTTCTTTTTTAGCTTTTGTAATATATATATTTTTTTTGTATAAAGTAACTATCCTCTGGGGTGTATTTGGATGGATAAACTGTTCTTTGGAATTTTTAAGCATGTGGAGTACTGAAAAGTGTTGCCTAAGTGGGGGGAAAAAAAAAAAAGCTGGAATGTGAAGTAATCTGTCGGTAAAGCTCCCAAGTTCCCACCAAATTTAAACCTGGGAGAGCTTCAGTGAGCCCAGATGAATCTCTCAAAACCACCAGCTCTCTCTAAAGGGTATTTAGTTGGGACATAAAACACTAACAGATATTTTCATCTTGCTGAATTCAGTTGTCGTGGGGGTCTCACTGTCAGGAATTCCAGCTGTTGCCTTTTCTGTCTGCCTTATTCTTATGCTGTTTTAAGATAAGTATTTTACACTTTTTGGCTGTAATAATCCTGCTTAGATTTTTTGATTGATAGTAATAGTACTTGTGCAAAGTAGCTGGTATTTTAAAATAATGAAGTAACTCTTGATAGTGGGAGGGTAATTTTTTCTGAGGTGTTAAGACTGTAGCTGCTGGCATGCACCAGAAATAATAAAACTGACAGCTCAGGAGTGACTACTTTCTCTATTTCCTGACAGCAGTCATGAAGGACTATTATCTGCAAATAGTGAATGTTTAAGGCTAGTAATGGACTCCCTAAGGTCTTGCAGAGACATTTCACAAACATGTCTCCATAGTGGAGGCTTTGTATAGGGAGTTTCAGATGGATGTGGAATTAGACTTCACTTTTTTTTTTATCCTTAGTCAATTTGCTCCATGCCCCCCCGCCAGATCCTAAAATAGAGTTCACTAAAACAACCATCTTCTTACTTTTAGCTTTGTCTGCATACAATAACGCAAAGTGATTTCTTTCAATCTTCTGATGGAGATGCAGTTGAAAAATCTTGGCCTGTCGGCAAAATATTTTGTAGCAGAAAGTGGAATTGTTTCTGCTTGCCTCACTTGTCAGTATTGTGGTGTATTTTACCTACCGCAAAAGCAAGAGTTGTGTGGCACTTTCCTTCTCTTGAAAGGCAACTTAAATTCCATTGCATTGGTCATCTGAAGTATTTTCCTCAGTTCTACCCCTCAGGGGACAGAGGGGTGTATAAACTTGGCAAAAGGCTGAGGCCTGAATGTGTAACTGAGATGTTCTGGGCTACTGTCCCTCCAGTTGACCTGTCTCTCAGCATGCATGGAGCATGAGACAGCTGAGACAACTCATCGATGGAAAAGTGCTGAACTAACTTGTTACCTTGCCTTTTCTGTGCACAGCTAACATAGACTTACTGATGGATGGTAACTTGGGATGTGAAATCCAGGGGCTGAAGCCTGCTTCCTGTGTGCCATTAGCTTTGGAATTCACTGATTATCAAAAATTGGAAGATGCAGCTTTGAGTGGCAAAATTATTTCATTACCTGTGCAGGCACAGATAACACTTGAGAGTTGTCATTTGCAGTGCTATCTTCTGCACTCGGAAGCTTGTGCAGCGATTGTATCAATATCATCAGTTCTCCTTGCTTAAGCAGTCACAGCATGGCACGGTAGGATACTGCTGGACTGAGATTTTTATGTCTTGTCTCAGTGAGGTCTGGATTTTGTTGTAGCTTATGCTGTTCCTTTATATCAATTAATGACATCTGGGTTCAGAAAACTGAGATTCTTGGCTCAGATGATTGTTGCTATTGCATTGCCCCAAAACCTGCTGACATCCTTGCTGTTAAAATGAGGGAGAAAGAATAATGGTTGGCCACAAGTGTCCAAAGGTTGCAGGATTTGGGGTGTCTTTATTACCTTGCCCAGCTCATTGGTAATTGATATGTTCCGAAGGCTGGAAGCCGACACTATCATTCTTGTTACTGGCAAGCAGTGTGAAAATTCTGGATACGTGAGCCAGTAGGAAGAGATTGTAGAATAAACTATTGGAAGACTTCCATGTTTACAGTGTGGTTATATTAGAAATAACTGTAAGGATTGTGCAAATCCATGCGTTTTGACAAATGGCTGTTAGCCAATCAGACTGCAGGGAGTTGCATACTGAGTAGTTACTGAGGGAATCTGTGCAGTGATTCTGCAACTTGGATCGCCCAGTTAAATATGAAGCACATCATGATTAGGGTAAAGGTGGAAATATAGTTATGCTTTTATAACTATAAAGCATTTTGGTGCTCTCTTGATTAAGATTATTTACTTACAAATAACCTATTTCAGTATAATTCGTTCTGCCTACGGAACTCTCCTAGGCTGAATAAACAGAAACTGGGGAGTTTTGCCTAGCGGTCTTTGCAGCACTTATCAGAAATATGGTCTGTGAAGAAGGCAGGACCGTGAAATCGGGCAATTCAGAGTTATGAATTCCAAAGTTTTTGCTTTGCTTTGTACAAAGTATACAAAGAAAAATATATAGCATGATTAAAATATGATCTAAAAGGGGAAAAAAATGGATATGCTTAGGCGTGGCCTCCTTATGACAGGTATATACAGCTTCTTACAGAGTCAGTTACCCATTGCTTACCATTTGGGATATTTTCACAAAATAAGATAGTATTAGAAACTTGAGATCTCCGTTTAAGCAATGCACGGCCTGCACTGAGTACAATTCACTTTTGTTGGTGGTGGTGCACTAGTAATTTTGTATCGGGGAATGTGAATAGTTTTTTGAGTATCTGTGATTTTGCTCTGTCACATTTTATCATAATATGCATAATGCAGAGTTGCCTTTTAAAATCCGTCTTGTGTCTGAAATGTGAAAGTCTAGTTTGATTGACTCGTGAAACATGGGCTTGTTGCCAATCAGCGTTCTCCTATCTTGTGGCTTGGTGCTCTGCCCCTCCCTCTTTCAGATGTGAAATGTGTTTTCAGTAATCTGCGTATAGAATTGAATGTGAATTGCATGCACTTCATGCATTTCGAAGTGTCATTTAAATGCAAAGTGTGTGTGTAGAATCAGACCACCCGCTATGTTGTGAAGATGGGGAAAGTGGTGTGGAAAGAAAGACAGACTTCATATTTACTCTATCCAAATGCTTATAGAATCCTAGCTTTATCAATCTTATTACTGTTTCTTAGTCTCTGGACAGTTAACGGTTTCATATGTGGTTGTTGTGTGTGTTTGGTTTTTTAAAAATTTTTTATTTTGCAGGTACCACAAGAGCCAGGCTATTTACCTGGAGTCTAAAGAGAACACTAAGATCAGCTGTGTGATCAGTTCTGTGGGCGCCAACGAGGTAGTGGGCTGCTTTATTTTTTATGGGAGTGGGGAAAGCTGTGGGTCAGCGTAGGCAGGTAGACAGCTGTCTAGTAAGGACTAAGAGAAAATCAATATTGCTTTCTGAAAAGATGTAGTTGTCTGGTGTCTAAAGAAGCTGAATCCAAGATAAAAGTGAGTTGAGAGATCTCTTCTTGAGATGGGAAGACACTTGCTCTCATTCTAAAGAATGGTCCTACGTTTTCCAAGTAGTAGTTTGGCAGGCAGGAAAAATTGTGAGAACTGACATGTTGGATCTCATTGGCACGACATTCATAAGTTCCATTTCCATTATTTCAAGAACATACATACAGTTATTATTAATGCAAAATAAAAAATAAATAAATTGGGGAATCCAGAAGAAGATGAAGAAAAATTTGTCACAAAATTTGGTTGTTGTAAGGGGAGAAAATTCTTCCTGCTAACCTGAGTATGTGTTGTGAAGTAAGCTGGGAGCATTCATCACCTACTTGGGAGACATGGCAGGTGAGTCATTTGTCTGAGGCAATTTCCTTGTGGCTAATGATTAAGGCTTAGAGAAGCAGGTGAAGAGAGGTGTGTGCCTAAGATTGATGTGAATCTTGCTGCAAAATAAGCTTAGTGCTCGAGCAGTGCATCAGTTGGGCAAAGGGAGCAGTTTATTCTTTTCTTGCAGATTCCAGACGCTTCAAGGAAAGAAATGATAGACTTGAATGCACTTCTCTTCAATCAGCCAATAAAGTAACTTTAATTTGTTTTGGCAGCTAAGGGAAAATATTTTATTTTCAACAAAATGGGTTGCATATGGGATATGCTTTGTATCACAACTGTTCCCCTTGCAATAACAGTTGTTACGCTCAACGGTTGGTTATTTAGATAAAGTGGTAGTAGCGTGCTAATGGATGCATTAAAAATATAGCACTGCTAATTTGTTTAAAGTTATTACTGTTAATTTATAACATTAACACTCAGTCTTTTGGGAGCATCTTACCTGAGACCTGAGGGAAATGCAATCTGTTAATTATTATTGCATGAATTCCGCTTTAAAGTGAGACGATAGGTTTAGGTTTGGTTTTGTGGGGTTTTTTTGAGAGAAGCAGGGGAGGAGGCTTGGCACTTGTTTGTTCTGTGATGGTTCATTGCAACAATACAAAGCCAAGGGAGATAAATTCTTAGCATAATAGAATACCTTCTCATTTCGGTATTAGGAGTACCATGTGCACATCTCTGATTTCATCACGCATTCAAAACTATGATTGCTAAACTATGATCTTACTGGTTCCTGCTTGAATTCAGAAGCTGGAAGGCAGACCTAGATTTGAGGTCTCTAATTATAGACTGGAGTCAAAAATTAATAGCATTTCTAAAGGAAGTCAAGTTATTCAGAGGAACTTTACGGAAAATATTTGCGCACAGTGTCTCCTCACCAGCATTTTTTTTAATGCTCAAAATGAAAAGAATTAATTAAGAAACATCAGAGATACTGTGGTATACAGTTACCTTCTTGTGGCTGGGGCAAGGAAGTAGTTAACGGAGACATCTTTGTTCATATGAAGGTCTAAATCAGTTTTCTTAAACTGGATTTGAATTTTGTGATTGGCTGTGGGCCTCTCCGACACAGAGTCTGATCTATGATGATCCCCTTTGGAGGGAGGGCGGGGGGGAAATAAATCTTCCCAGACCCAAATTCTTTAAAACTTGGTGATGTGTTTAGATCTAAATGGAACAGATTTCTATTACTTTTGATGTAACTCCCTTGGAAACTGTGAATCAAGTACTGCATTGGTGGAACTTATTGGCCAACCGCATGGAACCAATTCAATCATTTGCCTTTTGACAACAATAAACTCTTCAGTACATGCAGGAAAACTGGAGTTTTCTTTTATTCCCATGAGTTTGTTCAGCAATCTCAGTTTGGAAGTTGAAAAAAAGAGGAAGCTTATTTTCCTTTTACAGTCTAGGAATAAAAGAAATTCAGAGATGGATTTGGTTATTTCTATTCACCATCTCCTTCAGTTCTTTAGAATTAATAGATCTTATCTTCTGAATGCAAAATACATTGTATGTCTAAAAAATCAGTATTAAGTTCAGAATATGTTTTGGTGCTTTTATGTTTCTGAACACTGTGGCACATTTTAGTGTTAATAAGTAATTTTGCTGTTGTGGTCACTTGAAACTGAATTTTAATTTTCCTCCAAGTGGAACTTAACAAATCACTTAACTTTAGCAAAACTAACATGCCATTCCATCATATTGTGTTAGATGTAAAACTGTACATGTTCATTGTTCTGTACAGTTGGTCAGAGTTTGTAGATTTTTTAAAAAATTCTTCCGGTTAGTAAAACATACCGAATTCTTGGAAATATTGCAGTAGAGAGGTAATTATCAATGAATGTGGATTTTAATTTCTCTGGGGAAATAACTGCAGTGCAAATGCAGGCAAATATTAAATTTATTTTATATCGAGGGCTCCTGTTAGTAAGGTCAATTTATAATTAAAATAATAGAGTTAAATCAATCTACTGTGCCAGGCCTGTAGCTAATATGGTAGCTAAAAAAAAAAAGTTTTGGCTAAATTGCATGCCAACACTAACTTTACAGTCTTTTGCTGTATGAAAAATTGGACTTTTGTCCTAAAATACTCTAGTACTAAGAGCTGGATAACTCTTATTTTCCATGCATTTAAATAAAATGTTTGAATGCATCAGAATGATAAAATACAGAGGAGATTTGCTCAGATTTTACTTTTAAAGTGCAGGCATTTGGATCTAAACTTCTTGAAAGCGATTTGAAAAATTCTCTTGAGTGCCTGCCTCTATGGCAGCAGTTTGTCCTTTGAAACATACTGTATGTCTGCAAGTTATATATATGCAGGTGTTTAAAAAAGAGGGCCTTTTATATTCAGATACAATTTATTTAATACATTGTGAGAAATGCTTCACTGAACAAAATCAGAATAAGCTTTTCATTTGACTAATAGTTACTTGTCTGGGCAAATCCCAGGATAGATAATTTTATGATCTGTGGATCCAGAGAGACTTATTCTTGATTAGGTAAAGCTTAATGCCAGAGTTCTGTTGTGAACTGTAGCAGCAGGAAACTTGCTTTCCTGATGACGCTTGGAAAGAGTAATTTTTCTTGATGGCTGTTTCGAGCAGCGAGTTAAGGTGGTAAAGTTAGAAACCTTATTTAATTTTCTACTCGGGTTGTAAATGCCTAATGTGGGGAGGCAGAAGGGATTAAGCTAAGTCATCTGTACACTCTAAGTAACAGATGTTCTGATCTGACATTAAGAATACCTGGATTTATTTGTCTGTGTATTGCTTACTGTGGGTTTTCCCTTTTTCTCCCCAATATATATCCCTGCTCCTTTCTTTTTTCTCTTTCATGCAGATCTGGGTGAGAAAAACCAGTGACAGCACAAAGATGAGGATCTATCTGGGACAGCTGCAGCGAGGTGTTTTTGTGATTCGTCGACGATCAGCTGCGTGACTGTATGCTCTTCCTTGGTCTTTTTTTTTTTTTTAAACTGATAGACAAACCTCTAACGGGGAATGGCAGTCTGTTCGTTCATCTTAGCAGCAGAAAACACTGTCATGACCTCTTACAAGACAGTTTGTGGCTGGCCACATAATCCCCGGTAGTCCTTAAATCTTTAGTGATACCCAAGCACTGCCCTGGACTATTTCTGGATTTTGCATCAAGCTTCTGTATGCTTTCTTTATATTTTGGGTGACTATTTAAGAAGACTTTGCATCGTACTTTTTTTCATCGTCGTTTCATGGTGCGTAGATGGGACTTGTATGTTGAAAACAACGTAACATTCATGTTTTGAATCAGACCAATGGAAGAAGCTTTGCTTGTCAAGACCTGAGGTTATTCATTCTTTTTGGTTTTGTTTTCCTGCAAGGCTCAGGATGTTGGGCAAAAGGAGATTAATCATGCGAGGTTTCATCTGCAGCTGAGAGGTGCATCTGTAATACCTGGTGTATGACATTGGCTTTATTGGAAGAACTGTTTAAAAACTTGAGTGTTGAGGGTGGTTTTTTTTTTTTAGGAAAGCGTGAACAGCTTAATAACTGTTGAA